CGTATGCATATGCGCCCGACGGCAGGGACGGAGGCGAAGAGCACTTGTATTCTTTCTTCTCTCTCTTCTTCTCTCTCTCTCTCTCTCTCTCTCTCTCGTCTCTCCCTTGCTTCCTCCTTGGTTTCCCCGCTCGCTGCGGTCCGATCTGCGGTTACGCGCTTAACACACAGAGTGCTAATAATTCTTCGCTCGCGGTCGCAAGCGAAAATGGTAATTTTCCACTTTGGTCGGGAACTAATTAAGCTGCAAAAAATTAAACAACGTTGTGAATAAGATTGTTCGGGAAAATTATTTTTATAAATTTAACTAATTGAAACTTTTGTGGCGAAATTTTATGACATGCGATCTCTCGCGATCTCTCATCGGCGTTTCTTTCAGATGGTCACGTTTGAGTTTCACTCACATGGCGGCATTGAAGACATCGAGAGTTGAATTACTATCACTTAAGTTACTTAATATCAATCGGGATATGTGGGACGCGAAAATAACGAAAGAAGGAGCGCGCAAGTAGAGTTAATACATGGTGTGAACGAAAACGACGCCACCACGCCCCTCATTTCTGATATAACCGACGTTTTTGCTCTTTTATTAACCCTAACGACATTACAAACTAAACTCGTAATTTGTATTGTCAGACACATTTAAGCTCGACTTCGCACCGCACAATATAGATCATTGGTCGTTGACCTCCGTCCAAAAAGAGAGATATTCTAGAACTGAAAATTTCTAGGCTAGAATTTGCATTCCGATTTGAACGATTTTCGTTTCGATATTATTAAATATACAAAAGCGAGGATATTTAACGGAGTGAAAGATAAATGAATTTAATTTTATACGATTCTCTCTTTAACTGTAAGATCGCACTTCATTATTGTATGTTAATATGTAATGAGTTCAATCTTTCTAGACCTTCTTTCAACCGAGATTAATTTTTTTCTAATATAATTGTAAGATGTAGATGGTAATATATATATTATAAAATAATTGTTCTGTTTTATTACATCTGTATTATTACGTCCGTAAAGATATTACTAAATGACCTCGTTTAAATACGCATGGTGCTTCATTAAAACCTATCAACTAGTTGATTACTGTTTGTATAGAACTTCTCAGTTGGCAGCTAATGACACGTCATGATTTTGCAGTTACATCATTTTTATCACGATACGTACTTAAATATCGTACAAAACATCTCTACTTTATCTAAGAAAACGAGGAATTTCTGAGAAGATCTTAAGTTCTAAACAGAAAACTTCCAAGAAAAAGCATTGTCCGAATACTTTAAAATATAACGTATATTACTAAATATACTACTAAAAATAAAAACGACAATTTTCCGACCTAAAAAAATTCTTCAGAATACGATTATACTTGTCAGATAACGTCATGTATTAAATATAATGTAATTTCTAGGAAATAAAAAAATGGAATTTTGCACGTCATATTAAGAATATAAAAACTGATGCGTTTGCTATTTATCAAAATCACTCGAACGTTGCACGAGGATCGGTATTGCATATAAAATAGGAGATCAGGTGTAAGAGAACGGATTGCGTCTCTCTCTCTCTCTCTCTCTCTCTCTCTCTCTCTCTCTCTCCTCGTTGATTATCGGCACTATCGCTGAGCTTATTGTTGGAGAAGTAGTTTCCATGCGGACTGTAGAGTTGCGACGCAAAGTTCACGAAAGATTCGCTACCGCGAACCCTCACGAACCCGGGGCGTATCTCGAATTCATAGAACGTGAATAATGCAACACGGAAATACGTATGAATGTGAGTACGTCGACACGTTCGATCTTCTTCATTTTCGTTGTTTGGATCCGCACATTTTCGATACGGACACATCCGCGATGTAGAAGGGACACCCGAGATAGATGGGAGAAAACGCGCGATAAAATAACATGCGAGGGATCGAAGTTATCTATCGTGCGGATCGTCGAGAGCAACGGTCGAAATTAAGAGAAACCGGTTACGCTTTGGCTTCCTGCGAAAGCGCGAAGCTTTTTTTTTATTTTGCGACACTTAGGGTTTTTGATCTTTTTACACCGCCGACTTAGAGATCGCTTTGAATTTTACACAAAACTCAGAGAATTCTAATTCCTCTCCTTCCCTCTTTCGCTTTTTATACTACTTGAGATTCTATTCTAAAACTGCCTTAAAGTATTACGATATAAATGATTCGTTTTTATTGGCAATTGGATAAATCGTAACATCGGTCATATTAATAACTGGGTCGATCTACTTTTTTTGATTGAATCGGAAACTAAAGTTAAGTTAAATTAACTAACTAAATTTAATTTTAAGTAATCAATATCGTTTTAATTTAATATATTTCTTAAATATACTTACTTTTCGCTTTTATTGGAAGTTGGATAAATCATAACGCTGGTCATATTAGTAATAACTGGATCGATTTACTTTGCTTTGACAATTGAAAATTAAATATTTTAAATAATCAATAATCGTTTTAATACATTTTTTTAAATATACCTACTTTTCTGTATTTCTGGAGTTTTTTTTTTATTTCTGACAAAATCGAGTTTATGATACGAGCTATATAGAAGAAATTCAAAGAGAACGCAAATCTAATGCGCCCCATGATTTTTTTCCTATTCTTCTTTCGTACGAGAGTCGGATTACCTCGGCCAAAATTAGCGCGTCTCCTAATCCGGTTTACAAATCGTCGTCTGCGAAGTCTGCGCCATGAGATTAAAATATCAAATAAAAGATTCATATCATTAGCCGTTACAATCTATCACGTTCGACTATTCTTAGACATCAGTTCCTTCCTCTTCTCGAGCTTAAGATGCAGTCTCGGGTACTAATCATAATCTCGAATCTTCTGTTCTGTTGGTGCAGTCTGAGCATTTACTCCTTTTTATCCTTGTAGTTATTTCATAAGTTTTATAATAAGTTGCACATATATAACTAGAATATATGCGCTCGGACAAATTTAACAAAAGTTACATATAAAAATTATCCTATTCCTATAAAAATTTAATATCATGAACGCGTTACACGTCCCGAAATAAATTTAATATTTTTTAACTGCTGTTACTCAATTTTTTTCAAAAAAGCTAGCTCTTTTATTTGCTGAAGTTTGACATTGATTCGTCTATTAAAATGAACCATATTATTGTTCTCTTGCAATTTCACAGTCTCGCTTTGCGAGGCAAAAAATCGTTTTTACGATTAGGATCAAACGAAAATCTTTCTCGCTCGTATAAACAATTCTCAGTCGTATTGCAAACAAAATCCGACGGGCAAGAGCGGAGTGATTCCATTTCGTCGAACAGTTCGAGATTTATAGCTCGATCGAGTTTATGAAATGCTCACGCGCGAGTACCATCCCTCGAAGCTGCCGGTCGACCGTTTTTTCTCTTCCTCAGCCCATAAATCGCATTTTTAGAAAGTCTTACGTCATGCAATTGGATTCGCAGACGTAACGTGAGAATCGCGTGCAAAGACACGAAAAAACAGCTCCTCGAATTAAACGAGAGCAAGCAAGATCAAAAGACGCTTTGTGAAAGTGTCGTCTCGAGATATATTTTATCAATATTGAAAAATAGATATAAATACTCGAAAAAAATTGCAATCTTCAAACTAAATCAATCAGAATATCATCTCGAAACTGTAACGATAAAAGTATACGACGAAAATAATATTATCGCTAAAGGTTGAATTCCGAGTAATATTTTTTGAAATGATGTATTCATTTGTGGATTATTTTGTTCTCCAAGAATAGTCATCAAAAAATAGTCATGAATGAAGTGGTAATTTATCTATACTAAGTATTTACAAACGAAGAGCGAGAAAATCGATACGCTGATGTGACTGCGATGGCAATATATGTCGTCAGCTATTAAACGAGCCAAGTTTGCTCATTGCTATTCGCTGAAGGAACCAGGCGCATTTTTATTGCCGCTGATACGTCGATGAAGGACAGCGTCACGTTCGAGATCGTTTCTCACAAAAAGGAGGCTGCAATGATTCCAGGAATGACGATAACATTCACGACCGTTGACAGTCCGCAAATCTTGCTAAATATGAAATTGACGCGAGCGAACTGACGTAACTTGGCTTTAAAATTCCAGAAGAAAAAAAAGGATATAAGGCAACGTCACATTTGTAGAGGAAATAAGCATTCCTTTGATAACCGTATCATTTATCCATTTATTTTATAATTATCATTATCTACAAGATAACAAAATATGAATGCAACGTGGTTTATTAAGCGTGGGGAAGAAGATAAAGACAAAAGTACACATTTTCCAAGTTTCTGAATTAAAATTTTTTTCGAAAATCTAATATATCTTTAATATAATCTAATTATTAATATTAATAATATAATTTAATATATATTTTCATTTTCATAAATTATGGGCGTATATTTTATTATTTTTATTCGTATATATTTCTAACGTATATGCACATTATTTTTGTATTATACGCTTTATATTATGTAATATTGCCTGTATAATATCACGATGAAAATGAATTTTAGCCTTTAGCATTCGCGTGGGTATTGTCATCATATCACACACTCGTGCACTTTTCTTCAGACACTTCGAAGCAACAAGCCCTCTCTGATCATAATCAGTAGCTATTCATACTCACTACCTTTAGCAGGCTCAAGAGTTTAGTATTATCCACATGACTTTTACGCGCTACTACATATTGTTAAATTGTTACCAAATCTTTTCGTCTACATCCGAAAACTCAAACGAAAGCTTTATACGCCGATGACGCATGTTCTTATGCTTGTGCCTATATATTTTGGCTACATTCCCCGTCGATTACATCTTCAAAGGTTGAAAAGTTTATTAACTCCAACAATCGCGATCATTCAGCTGAAATAATAAAAACTGAGCCGTAAATAAATCGCGCGAAAATAAACTACTTCAATTTTCAAAAATTACTTATCATGAAACATGTGCGCTCGTCGATGGGATATTTGAATTAAAACACCATCCACACTTGATATTTAATGCGACATAAAAGAGTTTTTATGATTAAATGTCAATCATTTCTGTCATACTTACACGATCACGATATATGTAAATGTCCACACGATCTTATCGATTCACGATTGTTTTATAATAAGACAGACCTACTATCTTCTCGTCAATCATAGACGGAACGATCCTCGCCGCGCGATGCCGAACCCCTTAACAGATAATAAAATGTTGACATTAATAACGGTATCGTTCACGAGGAAACAATGTAGGTACGAGATCGCTCCGAGACAATCGGATCCCGACTGCGAACGTTTGTCAAGATCGAGGCGTGTATCACGGGTTACATGGATGCAGAACGGAGGTCGATCGTGAAAAAAGTACGGTGTCAATAAATTTTGCCTTATCTGCCGCCATAAATCCGTGCCGCAGCCAACCTTTGAGGCTCGATGAAGCATGCAAGCCTGCGCCATTGGGAAGTCCACGTGTATGCACGATTCGCCACGCACTTACACACATACACACACACACATACACGCGCTCGAGATGCTCGTGGACTCTCCGCGGATTTCTCGTAATCGCCCTGCTTACGGATTTTATCCGATGATTATGCGTTATTAAGTTCTCTCCGTGCAATAATGAAATCGCCTCGTGGATATCTGGGGCTGGCGATGGGAATGGCTCCCCGCCTCGAATGGCTGAATAATCAGACTGTAAGACGAATCTAATGCCGGTACTCGCCGGATACCTCCGTCATGATATTTTCGTATTTTCTGATTGGTCTCGCGGAATGTGATTAGAATCCGCATTCCTCCCGCGGCGAAAAATTCCCCTGCGCGCGAATTGCTTCAATTTCTGCTCGTCATCCGCGATTCTCTGTTAATAAGGTGCCATATACGCGTAATAATATTCCATTAAACGTTACACAATATTAGCTATTATACACTCCGCACGGGACAATTGCATTGTAATAATTTTCCACGATTGTTAAATTATTGAAATGACACGGTTGCTCCGAGATTGACGACGAGGAGAAAATATAATCGAGGATACTTGAACGTTGCGCGATCGCAGAAATTACCTGCCAAGGTGCGGTAAGCGTGCAAACATCAGCAAACTGAAAACGGCGAGCTGTAACAAAAAGAGACTGCCTATGTCACGGAGCAGGCGTCTGTTAGCCGGGTTCCGTGTGTCTGAAAACTAGTCGCCGTGAACGATCGGCCGCTACAGGCGGCTTGTGCAAGGCGTAATTTACATATTTAGTGGTAGACGAACGTGGTGCTTACGCAATGATGACAATGTCGTATCGGCGATTTGCACAGTTATCTCGTAAAACGTTAACGGTTTTGCCGCTCCATGTGGAGCGAAGAATGTATCGTGGCAATCATCGTGGCAAATTAAGATCTGCGATTCGGAATTACGCGATTACCTTTAAATATATTAATGAACGGCAATTTCCCATTGATACGCTGACGCCGTGCATTGCTCAATCATGCTGAAGTAACGTACGTTAGAATGATATGATGATTAACGTCGATTTTATTTAAGTGTGAATTTATCTTCCGGCGTTTTCTTCCGTACGCGAATTAAAAATGCTCGAGCAATTATTATTTCAATTATCGCTAAACTATTTTTTTCTCCTGGATATGAGTTGTGCGAGATTTGTCATTTTTGATTCATTTTAATGGAGTCGCGCCAACGCTCGAACGCCATTTGAAACGCGTGTGACAAGTGCCGGTTCTTTCGTCACTCGCATTCGAGCTGAACGTTAACGAACGTGCGATTAGCGAATACGACGGCGGAATGCAGACGAAGAAATTGCGGATCGAAGTGAAGAGGCGCGTTAATTGCCGTTAATTTCGTTACTCCGGCGAGACTGCGAGCGATCGAAAATCGAATACGCTCGCGGTCGTCACCTTAACGAGAAACGCCAGACAGAATTATGACCGCGTGTTCTCATCTTGAGTGATCCACTCGCACGTTTTCCGAATTCATCGCATCGACAACTTCACGGGTGGCGAAACTTTCTCGCGAGTTTCCCTCGTTCGACAAAATTATTTGGTCAATTTTAAAGGAACTCGAAAATTCGAGTTGCTCAAATCGTTTGCTGTTAAAATTTGGAAAAATAAAAAAATGACATACAGTTCAATTTGTTTGGAAGGAGACAACGTAGTGAATATAGTTGAAACGACGACGACAGCTTTATACTATTTGAACATTCGCGGCTGCGAGGCACAGTCTATCAATTACAATCTACGCGATTACACAATCGCGAGACGATCCTGTCGGCTGGCGCCTCCGCGGCAAAATCGGAAGTGCATGCGCGCGTGTATCGAGTGTATTATTTATCTCATTATATATACGCTAGCGTTGATATTGACACATACCTCCGGCGTCGCTCCAAATGTAGGCGGTGACATCATGCGCGAAACCGCCCCGATCGTTTATTTATGAAATTATAGTGATTTATCCGCGATCGGTTCGATCCGGTGCGGCGGCACTGCGGCGAATAAATTTGCAAGTACGAGCCGGTTTTATTGTTCGCCGAACTTTACTTTTTGCCTCGGTTTACAGTCGCGCGTGCAGCTCATTGCATCGCATGACGTCACGCGAAAAATGTTGAAAAAGGTTGATCGATGTTTAGATGTGCCACTCGATAATAGCGGCGATTACACTCGCGAAACACAATTAATGCCGCATATCATTACACCCTCTAATTGATTGTCCACGACGAGCGAAGTTAAAAGGTTTACTTGTAGGAGAAACTGTAGTTCGAAAGCTATCAATGCTATTACGTAAGGTACATTGCCACATAAGGTTAGATTTAAATTAGACACGTGCGTGAAATGTAATATTTAGAACACAGAATACGATTTATTCACACCGATAATTTCAATGTCAATTTATTGTAGGAACAGGATGACGTAAAAGACGAGATTATACTCGATGCTTTTTATTGCTTTATTAATGCGACTGTCAATAAATCAACAGTGATTCGATTGAGTGCAAGAGATTATCTCTGCATAAACCGGTCTTACATAACATCTGATATTGTAATAGCGCCATATCCTATTTACGACATCTGCGTTTCTAATATTAAATCTAGTATATAAAAGTCCTATTTTTTTTTTCAAACATTTTAATATAGATATTTTTGTCGTTTTATGAAATGATGTGAAGCAAAGAATTATCAGTAATTATTATTATCATAGGAATTTTAATAAAAAAAAAATATATATATAATTTCTACATTATTGAAAATATATATTTTACATATGTAATATGCAACATTTGTGTTCGATGTAAATTCTTTCAAGCAATTCTTAAGTATAATGCAAAAAATCATTTAATGACATTCCATGATTATTGCATATCGTATCTTGTGAAAAGATCTATATTACTGTCAGATCTATGAATAGATACGAGGATTAACATAAATCACAGCGATTAACATAAATCAAACGACTCTTCCTCTATTGGTAACTTTTTTATATTCCCTCTCTGTTGTTGCGCGTGTTTCGATAAGGCGCGTATCTAAATCGCGTGAATCACCGACTAGAATCTAAAGTGATGTTGCACAATGCTCGACCACAGTGATTAACTGCAGATGGACATAGTGATAATTATTTATTCGCCCAAAGTTTCGCAATTAAATGATTTGAAGTTTTTGCAATTTTAATATAAATACGAGAAACTTTAAATAAAAACTTTAAAATCCTGTCTCACATGCTTTTACATAATTTAAAAATGACATTTTTTTTAAATATATAGAAATGATGAGAGGGGGGGGAGGAAACAACAATACAGGTCCATCGCGTTTCATCCGAAAATCCGAAAATTTTACGGAGATAAATATTTCTTCTGAAATGCATTTCTCAATCGAGAGATCGATTTAAATGGCTACACGATTCAAGACGCGGTCATTAGCGATGCGCGTGCATGCATGGCAATCCGACAAAGTTAATCAGACGCAATCCTGGCTTCTCGTTGAAACGTTTAACGCGTCTAGCATATTCAAAGCATCCGAGCGCACGAGTGTGTTTGTAGGTAGATATTTATATACACGCGCGTAACACGCGTGCGAGAGTGCCTCCAGGAGGCCACGCGTGACTTAATGCAGCGGTCTCGCATAATTCGTTCCAAGTATAGAAGGGCGTCACGGACGCGCACTGGTTTCCTAGTTTTCGCGTCTCGGCGGTCGCCAAATGCCATCATCGCGTCTACATAAATCGCGATCCGTTCGTACTTGAAACTCCAGCGGGAATCTATTCTGTCAGAATCACCGGAAGCGAGATTAGCGAAGCCATCTCTAGGAGATAGAGTAGTGTAAAATTGAATTACACGCAAAAGTGAAATTAGAAGTAAATATAAATTAAAGCGATTTTTTTTTTTCCATATGAAATAGATAATTTATTCATTTTTTTAACTCTTTGATGTTTTTTTTTAATTCTTAAAAAGGAAAAAACTTAATTTAAGATTTTGCAAATAGAAACTGGCTTATCAAATTCTTCAAATACGAAATCCTTAAAATACGGCAATTTCAATCCGTATAATTTTGCAGTTTTCGCAATTTAAGTTTTGCTAATATTACCAGCGCCTTTCATAATTCGCCGTATACCGTTTGAGTGTGCTCAAACGCATATATGTCCTTTTGCCGCCGGCTATATATTTCGTTTCAGACGACGCGCCGAGCTTCTTTCACTATTCAATCATCTCCCCGAGTGCGCCGTTGAATTATTAACGAAAATTACGGCAAATGGAGTGTCCCGCCGCCGCAATTATTTACAACGTGCCACGCTTTATCGCCGCACCGGTGCCGCTTAGGAACAGGCAAAGACGGCTCTTCTCCGACGCCGCCGAAGGTTAACAGCGTAATACTTGACGGCCCGGGTTTCTCTTTATCACGCAGCTTTGTTAACGGCGACAGCATTTCTGCCTTCGCGCCGCATGTGGTATCCGCGCGGAGCTCGCTTAGGTAACGAAGCGACGGTCAATGTACTTTCGGTGCATAGGTTACACACAATTTAAATCCAGCATCTTCTTTATTATATAAAAAAATCAAAATACTACTTGAATACTCGAAACTTCATTTTGTTGACGATTTTCATCTATCATTACCACTTCGTATTTGATTACTTTACGGATTACAAGTAATTAGAAATGGAAATTATCAAATATAAAAAAACGGAATTACAGTGACAACGGAGTAAAGGAGCGAGGATTTTGATCCGGGAATTTAACCGAGTTGAACGAAATCTCCAAGGATAATGCGCAAAGGCGTGAGAACGAAACGGGGAAAGTGCGAACGGTGTTTCTCTCCTCCAACGGCGTCGTCGCCGTCCAACGCGAAGAAAGAAACGCGCGTCGTACGTCTCCATCGCTTTGAAAACCGTCTTTTTCTCCCGCTCGCGTGGTATTTAGGTCGGGCGACTTGCCTTCCGCCTACGTCGAAGTTAATTGCAGGTGTTAATGTGGATTACGTACGGCGTCTGTGCATCTGCGTCGACCTGTAAGTTTGTTCACATGTACAGGTGCGCCTCTACGTTGAACACATCCATTCGGCGATCAAAGTTTTTGCTCGTTCCTCCCTTTTTTTTTTTCTTCTTTCTCGTTTAGATAGATACGCCACGTGGTTTAATTCGCTTTTTCTTGCTCTTCGTCGAGCACAATAACTGCCGTGACACAGGAGACGAGAAGAATGCGGATCATTATGCGCGAATGACTATCGTCACATCTTTAATTTCAGCGCTCTTGCGCTTTCGAGTGAGATTAGGTGTCTTGTGTATTAAATTTTTCATTTTTCCCACGTGCTCAGTTACAAATATAATTCCAAATTGATTCGGTGTATTTGATTCCTCGTATTTTGCCGCGCGATATACCTTTATATTAATTATTAATTGCGATATTTTAATGAGACATAATTTTACGTGTGATAATTATTTGCGTGACATTTCAATCCACGAATCGTGTAAAAAAAAAACAGCTTTATTCCGTTTGCGCGTGTATTTAGAATACTCGTACGCACATTCTGCACAGGAGCTGACTATATCATTTAGAGCCGTATCAGCTTCCATAAGTTAGATAGACAATGCAAATGTTGCAGCATTTTATCTGCGAGGGAAGAAGCAGCAAGATTAACAGAAATTGTATCGTCGCGAGAACCTTGGAATTACAATTATTTTATTCTTTTTTATTTAAAACTTCTTTTTTCTCCATAAAAGTCTCATGTTTCGTATCATTATGCTGCTTTCTTCAGATTCCATAAAAAGTTTTTGCGTGCAATAATTTTTTCCGCAGTCGTTGAAAAGCAACGACTAGTTTGGCGCTTTCACCTTTTTCTAATTTCGGTCAAGTGAACCCTTACTTCGCCATCTCTTTAAGAAGAGTCAAGCGGTAAAATGATTAAATGACAGACCTCAACGTTGACACTTCTCTCTTTCTTAATTTCAATTTATAGTGACTGCAACGCGACCTACTTAAGCAGCTTAAAAACGAGTGCTTAAAACGAGTAACGTTATTGCGATCACGAAGCGACAAAATTAGAGAGGTGACCTGACCAAATTGAAACGTCACCAAGCTTACAAATATTTGTTGCAGCTTCGATAAATCTGTTCCGCAATTTTGCAAAAATAAATGTTAGCTTTCGATAAATCTGTTCCGTAATTTTGCAAAAATAAATGTTAGCTTTCTCACGATTCCTCGCCTATTTTCTATGAACAGAATAATCAAGAAGCATTTATTATCGGTAATGTTAGCATGTTAGCTTATCACTCCGCTCTTATCAACGCCGACGAGTAATTTAGCCTTAACCGAATTACACTAGAGCTAGAATCGCTCGAATCGCTTTCTCGCTCGAATCGCGATTATCCAGCGAGAATCGAAGACCCGATCGAGGAGGGGATGACGAAGCACGAGGGGGATGTCGAGGTGCGCTCGGCGCTAAGAAGAAACCGGTTGGCACCGTCATCTATTTCCAGCAATCTCGTCACACGCAACCGCCGAAAAAGTTCTCTCCTCCGGATTGTGGAGCGACGCTCTATAAATACGCGCTTACGGGGCTGTATAGCGTAATGTATACGAGTGTGCACATCCAACTGTGTGAACGTCTCGCG